TTTTATCAATTACTGATAATTTTTGATACAAAGACACTTACCACTAACTAGTCCAGGTTTCAGAATCTCCTACAAACAAGAGCAATTTTATACAATGTTATTGTATCATGCATGATTAGACCCAGAAATTTAACATTGATGCAAAAATATTTAATATGCAACTTGTATACAAATTTTCTAACTATACATTATTCACAAATTTTTAACATATACTATACATACTATTTCATTCACTGATTTAAAGTGTACATTTAATAGTTATTTTTGTGTATTTTCCCAGATTGATGCATCCTTCATCACAACTTTAAAACCTAATCATTACCCCAATTAATAACTACTCTTTATTTCTCCATATGTACGAATACTCAGCAATTTGCAATAACATTCTATCTTTATGATTTTCCGAGATTTAATATTTCATATGAATAGAATTATACAATATATGGTCTTTACAGCTGTCTTATTTCAATTAACATTGTTTTCAAGGTACATGTATGTTTTTCATTTATTTTATAAGTGCATTAAATTATATAGAATAGTGAGATTCATTGGTATGTATGCATAATATAATTTGGTCACTTTTGTTCCCAGCTCAAGGTACATTTATGTAAAATTATGTATCAATATTTTATTTTGTTTCTGGGTAACTACATAGAAGTTATGTGAATCAAGAAACAGAATGTAGGATAAAGAATATATGTGAGTAGATAATGGAGCTCAAATTTCTGTGACTCAGAAATCATCAGGTGAAGATATTTATTGAAAAATGAGGATAAAAACTATTATGTTTTGATATGGAGGAGGTCTGGGCTGCAGAGATGTGGAGGTCAGTGGCATTTAAGAGAAGTTGAAATGTTACAGTTGGTTGTCATCACTTGCAGGGGACAAGGAAAACTCATGAGCCAATGATAACAATCCAGACAATGTACATGTAGTTCACATTGGAAAATGTGAGGCTGCATATCCTATTTCTGAGGTGGGGGAGAGGTGAGAAGAACCCCCACAATCAAATATCCTGCAATCTTAAACAGGTTCAGTACTGACACTTAGTGGAGCATTGGCATATTCAAATCCCACATTTTTCAATCTTTGGCCCATATTAAGATTCTCTTTCCTTCATGGAATCATCACAAGAGTTAAGTAAGATCATGAATGTAAAGTTTATTGATAACTTGTAAAACCAAGGAGGGAAAGGTGATCCTTAAAGAGTAAGGTTGAAAAGTGTGTGTGCTCTCTCTCATCCAGCGAGGAGGTCCACAGAACAGGGTAGAGGAGAGTGTGGCTGCAGAGTCACTAACCAAGACCTCCAGAGACCAAGCAGGAAGCAGGTCTGATTTTATTGCACAGTTACCATGTATATATATACTCAGGCAGTAGCTAGGCAGATTACAGGCAGCCATCAATGCAATTCTGCTAACTGCTCTTGCAGCGACCAATCGAGGAGTGGGCTGTGGAGCAAGCACAGGGACTACAACACATGGCCTCATGCCCAGGGTTGTGCCTACTGGGTAAACAGCCTGCCGCTTACATGCCTAGCACAAAGGGAGGGGCCTGCCACTCAGATGCCCTTAATGTATGCCATGTATGCAGTACTCCATGCACTTTTCCCCACAGAAAAACAGACTCAACAGCACTTAGCGCCTCAAGGGGACTTCGTTTCCAGCAAATACAAACTAAACTGCTATAACACAGTAAATGGAAAGTTCATTTTAAGTACAGATTGGGTACAAAAGAATAATGCAGACATGGAAAGAAGGTAGAAGTAATAAAGGTTAGAATGATGTGAACACTTTCTGAGAAAGAGATAAGTAAAGACTTTCTATTCAGGTATAAAAAGTTCCATTTAGAAGAGCAAGCATTGGCCTGAGTTGTTTGAATCTTGGCATTGACCTGGAAGAGCAGTATATCACTTTAAAAAAAAGTTATAGTTTTGGGGCTGGGGCTGTAGCTCAATGGTAAAGCACCTGCTTTGCATGTGGGAAGCACTGGGTTTGATCCTCAGCACTACATAGAAATAAATAAAGATACTGTGTGTTAATCAACAACTAAAAAAATTTTTTTACAAGTTATGGTTTTTTAAAAAGGAACACATGGTAAATTATTGATTTAACAGATAGAAATTTCAATTAAAATATTTAAATTATGCTTCCAGGGTCAGCTAGAATTAACAAGCAGGAAACCTTCCTAGCAGATTACTGATAACAGACTTTATATCAACTACCCATCTCCACTTCAGCTCTTTTGTTTTCACTTCAGATTTTTAACATTGGAAAATGATGTGATATTTTATTTGAACAGAAAACTTTGGGATGGGAAGAAAGAACTGCAATAATATTCAAATGTTCATCACAATATTTATACTGGACAAAACTGTTGTACCTATTGCAAGAGTTACCATGATACAGAGAATAGAATTGTCTTCTTACCAAAGACTCTTCTTAGGGCTCCCTTCATGTCTCTGTTCCTCAGGCTGTAGATGAAGGGGTTCAGCATGGGAGTGACCACCGTGTACATCAGAGCCATGACAGTGTCTTTCACAGTAGAATTATTAGCTGATGGACATAAATAGAGACCAATAATTGTCCCATAGAACAGTGACACCACAGAGAGGTGGGAGCCACAGGTGGAGAAGGCCTTGTGGATACCACGAGCAGAAGGAACCTTGAGGATGGAGGAGAAAATTTGTACATAGGACCCAAGGATGAGTAGAAATGGGGTGACAATAACAAGTCCTCCCATGATAAATATCACCAATTCATTGACATGAGTGTTGGAGCAGGCCAGCTTCAGTAAAGCAGATATTTCACAGAAAAAGTGGGGGATCACGTTGTCCGAACAGAAAGACAATCTGACCACAAGCAGAGTGTGCAACAGGGCATGGAGCATGGTCAGCACCCAGGACAGCACCACCAGGGAGAGACAGAGCTTGGGGCTCATGATGGTGGTGTAGTGCAGGGGGAAGCAGATGGCCACATAGCGGTCATAAGCCATGGCCACAAGGAGGAAGCTCTCTAGGTCTGCAAAGCACAGGAAGAAGTACATTTGAGTCAGGCAGCCTGCATAGGGGATGGAGGGAACTTGACTCTGCATGTTCTGCAACAGTTTAGGAATGGTCACAGAGGAAAAGCAGAGGTCAGAGAAGGACAAATTGCCGAGAAGCAAATACATGGGAGTGTGCAGATGGGAGTCCAGGTGAATGAGGATGATGATGAGGAGATTCCCCAGGACGGTGATAAGATACATGGAAAGGAACAGGGCATAGAAGAGGTTCTGGTGCTCTGGCTGGATGGGCAGGCCCAGGAGGAGGAATTCTGAGATGGGAGTTTGGTTCCTTTCTGTCATGCTCTGTCTACTGTATCTTTTTTAAAAAAAGAAAGACTTGGGTCGCTTAACAATTCAAATAAATGAACATTTTTCTCTTATATGTCATCTGGTACTCATTCTACAATAACTGATCCCACCTTGATTACAATAATTATTATCTTTAAAATCCAATTGTCCATCATCTCTATAATCATGAATGCCTTTTTCTTAACTTCTTTGTAACATGTTTGAATATTCCATCCTTTCCTTAACACTTACCTATTGGTTTCTGAGACAAAATGAATTACTTTTTTACATACATGCCTGGCTGGTAATCCTAGGGAACCATAATTGGCTCCTGTTCTATCAGTAACTTGTATGTTGATATTCCTCATGGATTTTGCTAAACTCTATCTTATCATAACTCTATATGGAACTCTCCTAATAAACCTGACATGCTCCAATGGCTTATATCAGTATTTAAAACTCAGACATGAAAGCTGGGGATATAGCAGAGTGGTGAAATGCTCATCCAACATGCACAGGGCCCTAATGCAATCCCCAGCACCTCAAAAAATTAATCAATTAAATAAAAATAATAATCAGTAAATAAAACTCAGGTATAGACGCCCCTAACCTATAAATTTCTATATTCCATAACAATTGTCTTCCATTCAGTGAATCATAGGTTCCTTAAGCTCAACGGGTCCCTAATGAAAATCATCAGATTGCACTTCCTCTGTACCTCTCTCTTCCTCCTCTACTCTCATATTTTATGAGACTGATGCGCTGCCTACTGCGCTAAGGAGGCAGACTACTCTCATATTTTAAAAAAGGAATGCAGCATTAGGTCAGAAGTCGTGAATTGTTTCATTCATTCTTTTCTCTTACTGGAAACTCCAACATACCATGTCATGTATATTCTATACTTTGTTCTCCTGCTACTTCATCCACTTCTTATCACAAGGCCAAGCTCCTCATCTACAATGGCATCTCATCTCACCTGGACTATTGAAGCAGTTTCTCAAGTCTTGTTCCTCATAGGGAAAATTGTGCACCTGGATTCTCAGAATGCTGAGTCCCTTCTGAGTGAGTAGGATGATCTCTTGAGTCAGGAGTATATGCTGGGATCACAAACTGGAGACATCACCTGCTATTGTCACTGCTGACCCAATCAACTCTGATCTTCTCCTGTGGTAAAATCCATAATTCACACCCTGCACTGACATAAGAAACACATATGGCACTATTTATAAATCTTATATATATGCAAATACCTGGGGATTTGTTTAAAAAAATTCATTCTGGTTCTATTGCTCGACTTTTACATATTAAATGAACATCCAGGTAATGGCAATACTGTGGTCAATAAACTGCATATAAGTAACAAGTACATACACTGCCATCAAAATACATATTACTGCCAGGTTCAGATAAAGTTGAATAATAATCTCTAAGAGAGGTTTGTGAAAAGCTTTTTAAATCTCTGAAGAAAAATGCAAAGAAGAAAGAGGAGGAGGAGGAGGAGAAGAAGAAGAAGGAGAATTAAAAATTACAACTTTCTACCCAAACTTAAAGAGCTATTATTATTTCAAACTGATAGAATTGTTGATATTATTGCACAATAAGTTATAGCAATAAACATTATTATTAATAAAACATAAAAATGTTAAACATTAGTCAAAGTATTAAAACCATGTGAAAAAGTCTTGGGAAGCAGAAAGATGGAAACTTAACAGACCTGAAAAATTATTCTGCAGAACACCACACAACCTGGGAGTTCAAGACAATCATGTTTGAAAGACAGACAAAAGTTCATTCACTCTGCTACCAACTCATCCAGGTGGCTGAGAGTGACTCCAGGGCCCAACTCAGGATCCTTTTCCCCTTTATTCATTAGAGACACAGGAAGTAACAGTCTCTGTAGTCTTCACCTAACTGCACTATCCCTTCTCATTCTTCCCCTTCTACACACAGAAGTCTGAGAAGCTCTGCATCCCAGAGGAGTACCAAGGCTGGAGGAACTCATTACAAACAAAATAATTAGCCAGGACCTCTCAGAGACTAATTCTCCCAGTCCTGTAGTGGTGACTCATGACAGCCTCTGTTCACACCAGACCATCCTTTGGGGGAAGGTGAAGATGCTGAGCAGCTCAGGACAGATGCTTTCTTGTTGCCTGTGTGTGGAGGGGGCAGGAGACCTGTGTGGCTGCAGCCTACATTTCAGGAGGTGAAGGTGGATGGCTGCAGAAACCATGTAGTAATCAGGGACCACATTGTGAATGTCCCAACCTATCTTAGGTGTTTAAGAGTTTAGGCTTTATCCTGTGGATAACAGGGATTCATACACCATACAGTGGTCTTTGAGTAGAGTACTGCCATGAAATTCATGTTTCAGAAACATTGCAAGGATGGCAGAACCTGTTATTTCTCCCATCTTTCTGCCCACAGTCCCTAGGACAGAAAGAAATGCATTTAACAAGGATCAGACTTCTATGATTAAAGCACATGCAGATATAAAGAATCACAAGAATAAGAAAAAATAAACTTACCTGAACATGTTCAACCCTTCCTCATGCAGATTTGAAAAATGGACCTTTGCGTCACATTTGGCTCATTTGTATGAAAATCTTTAAGAAGCCCCAGCATGACCATTGTCCCTTCCTCCATCTATGTCATGTCAATTCCCACTGCCAAGATTATTCTGGCCCTGTATTTGAATGTGAAGCCAGATTTGGCATATATAATTCACTTTCCCACCATCCACTCATCTTTAGCCATCATCTGCTGCAGGATCTTTACATAGTAACACATTGCAACTTTCCATTGTAGGGACCTGCATCTTTATTGGTGTTCCTTTATTGGGATTTATACTTTTCATTAATATTTGTCATGGACCTTGAATTGTAAAATGGTACCCAAACAATTCTGCAAGATTTCAGATGCCACCTTCTCTATTCCAGTTGTGTAGAGTAACAAAGTTTCCCCTTGGTGATCAATATCAACTAACCCATGCACAATAGCAACCCGCTGTTTGCACATTAGCTCACATCTGAAACAGAAAATGGTCAAATGATAGCCTAAAGGATGGTTATGTCCCTTGGCAGAATAGCATGTCCCTTCAGAACTACACACTTCTAATGCACTGTTCTAAGTTTTCTCAGCCACTTATTCCAATCAGTGTTGCAGTGATCTCAACTGACTTCCATAGCTACCATGTAAAAGCACTGCACATCTATCCAGCTCCATCTCACCATGGCCTTTGCTTTGAGACATCTCTGTCTCCACAGAGCAGGATGTCATTGGGAATCTCCTCAACATTCATATAAACATTAAAATCTACCATCCATTTTCTGTGAACTGTTGTACAGAATGTGAGGTGTAGATTAAAATTAAATTTTTAATATGGAAATCCAATTTTTCCAGCACCAAATATTAAAGAGACTCCTGTACCAGCTTTCCACCAGTACAATGAAATATCTAGCACAGTCAACTTATAAACAGGTTCATTTAGCTCACAGTTTGACGAGTTAGAATGGCAAATGACCTAGTACAGCCTTGGCCAGGTCAACCCTTGCATGATCACCTCATGGGATAGGGATGGCAGAGCACATGCAGCTGAAGAATAGTATCTCAAACTAGAATGGAGATTCCATGATCCATTTCAAATCATCCACAATGACCTGAGGACTTTCCACAAGTTCCTGCCACTTAAACACAGCAACTCCTATACTGCAATACTGAGTCTAGGCCTTTATGTATGAGCCCTTGGCAGACAGCCAACATTAAAACATGGTAAATTAGCACAGGAAAAGATTAACAACAATATCTAATCATAACTTAGAACAAGTAAAACAATAACTGTAACAAAAGTTTCTTAGTGATCTCTATCTTTCTCTCTCTGTTCCTCCCTCCCTAAAATATTTCTTTTTACTTTTAGTTGGATATTGACACAATAACTTTATTTTATTTCTTTATTATTTTTTATGTGGTGCTGAGGATCGAACCCAGTGCCTCACATGTGCTAGATGAGCACTCTACCAATGAGACACAACCCCAGTCCCTCCCCCTAAAATCTTATTGTACTATATTTATTCTTCTTCTACCTGTCACACTGTATCATGATAAAGTGCCAACAGGGTAAGATAAAGTGAGGTGAATGACCTAGACTTTGTTATGTAGCATTTGCTACATAATATAATGCTCACTTGAAGGTTCACTTGAACCTTAAAAAGTAAGTTTCATTATGTGAGGTTTACTTATTGCACACCAATGCAAAAAAGGGCAATCTGATGCCACTTGTATAAACTGCTATGCTCCTAAGATTTTTCAAATCATTCTCAGTCTAGTGCTTGATTTATTTTTATGGATTATCCAACTATTTTTCTTCAAGTCCCCAATGTAGGCTCCAACAGCACAGGATTTCTGTCCATTCCCTAAGTGGGCAATGACTGATCATTCATCCCTGAGCTCTTCATCCCCACCTTTCCCACACAGTAGGGTGTGATCAGTGGCTTTAATCAGTCACCATCCAGGACTCTGATAATTTGCCTTGAAGAGGTCCTGGATAATTACTTTGTGCCTAATGAGTTAGGCCTGAATCTGGACTCCCCTGAGATGCAGAGCCTCTCGGGCCCGTGGATGGCTAGAAGGTGAGACATGAGAAGGGATGGCAGAGAAGGGATGGCAGACACGTGATGCCTACAGAGGACGTTACTTCATATGCTTGTAATGAATAAAGGGGAGCAAGATCTTGGATCAGGGCCCAGAGTCACCCTCAGACACCCTGGGTAAGTTGTCAATATGCCAGGTTGTATGATGTTCTGCCAGGTAAGTTTTCAGGTGTGACAACTTCCCTCTTTTCCATGGAGCTGCCTTCCAAGACATTGCCACAGTATAGAAATATTTTGACTAAAGTTCAACACTTATAACACTTTTGATTAATAACACTGCTCATTAATGTCACTTACTGTGCAGTGAATCCTCAAAGGTCACAGCATTTTGACATACCAGGCCTGTAAGACAAGGTTCAGTGCAGTAACAGTTCTTAACCTTTCTTTATTTTACATTCACCTAAGGAGCTTTAAAAAGCTTTGCACAAGCCACTTCACAGAGATTCCAATTAAGTTATCTCAAGGTGCTCAGTAATCGGAGTTAAACGGCAATGTGTGTATTTGCTACTCAAGTGCAGCCCAGTGATCACAGTATTGACACCCCTACTTGGGTGTTCATTTAAAGTGTAGAGTCTGAGCTATAGCACCAGAATGAATGTCTTAATGATAGTTAATTTGCATGTGTGTTAAGTGTAGAAACACTGCCCTACATGATTCTTGTGTGCATCCCAGAATGAGGATATTGGATTTAATGGCCGAAGAAGAGGAAGCTCAGTGGATCATCTATGAAAACGTCTGCAGCTGCTATCTCTGGTTTTGTGATCCCTGCACAGCTTCTAGACACAAAGATAGTCCCATAAGCTCAAAAGGTAAGAAACAGGCTGAGAAACTAGGTACATGATTTTCTCCTCATGTTTTGTCCCTTTATGATGCCAACACATGGTGTCCAAAGTCCAAAGGTACAAACTGTTAATGCAGTTCTGTTAAACACCATCAGCATTGGGGTGGACTTCCCAGCAGTAGGACTCATTTATATCATTTAGTGAATGAGTTTCCCACATCTTTTAATGTTCTTCCTCTGCATTTGTGATGACTTAAAGACAGATTGGGGTTTTGTTTATTTGTTTGGTACTGGGGATTGAACCAAGAGGAGCTCAACCACTGAACCACATCTCTGGCCCATTTTTTATGTTTTAGTACAGACAGGGTTTCACTGGGTTGCTTAGTACCTTGCCAAGTTGCAGAGGCTGGCTTTGAACTTGTGATCCTCCTGCCTCACCTCCCAAGCTGATGAATTACAGAGACATGCCATTGTGCCCAACCATGCTAAGCTTTATCAATCAAGGTTACCCCCAAAAAAGTGGCGTGCGTGTGTATGTGTGTGTCTGTATGAGAGAGAGAGAGAGAGAGAGAGAGAGAGAGAGAGAGAGACCAATTACAGTTTTGAAGAATGACCAGTCAGGCAGGGAATAGAAAATCCAACACTCCTTTTGTGACAGAAGCAAACAGTTAAGTATTTAGGAAAGAATGGGCTACTGAAACATGTTTAAAAGAAGATGAGAAAAAGTAATAAATGATCATAGAGATTAAAGACACTTGTAAGGTTATACTTATTGTGATGGTGGTGGGATCATCTATTGTAGAAAATGTAAACACTGTGTATGAGAAAAAATGATCATATTCACTTGGGTTTTTAAAGGGCCTTTTTATTTCTCTTAAAGGTATTGGAGACAAATAATAATGGGAAAAAACCAAACTCTCATCTCAGAGTTCCTCCTCCTGGGCCTGCCCATCCAGCCACAGCACCAGAACCTCTTCTATGCCCTGTTCCTGGCCATGTATCTTACCACTGTCCTGGGAAACCTCCTCATCATCACTCTCATTTGCCTGGACTCCCATCTGCACACACCCATGTATTTGTTTCTCAGCAACTTGTCCTTCTCTGACCTCTGCTTTTCCTCTGTCACCATGCCCAAATTGCTACAGAACATGCAGAGTCAAGTCCCCTCCATCCCCTATGCAGGCTGCCTGATACAAATATACTTCTTCCTGTTTTTTGGAGACCTTGGGAACTTCATCCTTGTGGCCATGGCCTATGACCGCTATGTTGCCATCTGCTTCCCCCTGCACTACACCACCATCATGAGCCCCAAGCTCTGTCTCTCCCTGGTGGTGCTGTCCTGGGTGCTGACCACTTTCCATGCCCTGTTGCACACCCTGCTCATGGCAAAAGTCTCTTTTTGTGTGGACAACGTAATCCCGCACTTTTTCTGTGACATGTCTGCTATGCTGAAGCTGGCCTGCTCTGACACCCATGTCAATGAGTTGGTGATATTTATTGTGGTAGGACTCTTTCTTGTCTTCCCATTCCTACTCATTCTTGTGTCCTATGCAAAGATAGTGTCCTCCATTTTCAAGGTCCCTTCTGCTCGAGGTATCCGTAAGGCCTTCTCCACCTGTGGCTCCCACCTCTCTGTGGTGTCGCTGTTCTATGGGCCAGTCATAATTCTATACTTATGTCCATCAGCTAGTAATTCTACTGTGAAAGACACTGTCATGTCTCTGATGTACACGGTGGTCACTCCCATGCTGAACCCCTTCATCTACAGCCTGAGGAATAGAGACATGAAGGGAGCCCTAGGAAGAGTCTTTTGTCAGAAGAAAATTCCCTTCTGTGTATGATAGAAATAACTGGGGCTTTTACATCATTTTATCCAGTAAATTTGTTGATATTAATATTGGGATATTATTGTAGATTGTTTCCCACATCATGATAACTTCTGATGAAGTAGCATATCACTTAATTTTTCAACAGGTAAAAGAGAGGAAGTTTAGCTGATTAGTTGGAAGGAGGTCTTGTTAACCTGGCTATGCCTTCCTGTTTGTCTTTTCTTGGTGATCCTAGGAAAGCACAGGGTAAAGGCTACTGTTTTATGGGAACTCCATTCTTTACATTCTTAAGATACCCCTGTATTTTGTTATCTTGTCTCAAACATGCTTTGAAT